TCAGATCATTATATTAACTCATTAAGCCCAAGCTAATCTAAGCCCAAGATTTCAAAAATGTTTGCCTTCGTACAAATAAAAATCTGATAAACCAAATATGTGCCATATTTCGATCATTCTATAAACCGTTTCATAGTGATATAAAAGACCTACGAAAATTTACATAATTGCTCTCACCTATGATTATCTTTATATTTCAAAAGGAAGCGACATGCCTAATTACAACGTTATGATACATACAATAATACAAAGGATAATTTAGTCTATTAACTCCAAAGCTTTGTTGAATATAAGTCGTTATAAAAAATGTGTTCAACGTGACGAGAATGGAAATTCGAACCGATCGATAGCGTTTCTATAAATCTGAACTTGTGCGGTATTCCAGGCTCTCCATATAATGGTTTATAACGTCTTTTCACGTGGTTCTTGTTCACTGCTGCCCATAAATCTTACAATGGTTACGAGTCCAGTGGCGGGCGTGTGAAAACAGAAAAGTAAAGTTTTCAAAATAGGCCTTACAATCACAATATTGTATTTTGTGAATTAGTGAAAATGAATTCTTTTTTCATATTGATCCTTTATCGAAGGATAATTTTGAAGCTAGATTCAATTTGAAGCTGTGTTAATTAAAAAATTATACCTGGAAACATGTAAGTGGCAAATAATCAAAACCTGACATTAATGATGATTCATTTAGCAAAAGGGAAGAATGTGATGCGAAGGCGAAAGCCGATTTAATAATCACTATGACTGCATCAGAATTGCGTCATATAAGGGGATGTTAAACTTAGAGGGAAGTGCGGTTGCGTATTCATTCAATATAATGCTTCTCAAGGGCCAGTCAAAAAGGCCACACTGTTGAAAAAATAGTATTACACAAGATAAGTGGTTCTGGAGACATTCGAGAGGGAATAGGTATTTTCTTTGGTACTGTTGATAAACTACCAAATATAGATATCATGATTCATAAGGATCTTTTATCGATTATGTTACTTAACAGCTTACCCACAAACTTTAGTAATTTTCGATGTGCAATAGAGAATAGAAATAAACTTCCTAATCCATAAATTTTATAAGTGAAAATTCTAGAAGAACATGTATCTAGAAATGTAAATGATGGAAATAGATGGTGGTGATATGCATGTTCAAGCTCAACCCAGTTCAAGTACAAGACTACATTTTGATAATAAGTATAATCAGAGAAAAATTGAATCGTGTAAAAAATATGATGATGATGAAAGGAGATATAAAAAATAATGATTATTTGATATCGCTGCTATCGTCCGAAACATATGACCATATGTTTCGGACGATAGCAGCGATGCACAAACACGCATTAAGGTTTAATGACGCTTGTAAGCTCTAATGAATGTCAAATTTCTATGGATAATGTCGATTTAAACTAATGATAATTTTAAAGGACGTTTGTGCAACTGGCTGATAGAGCTGTAATTATATACTGAAAGAGTATTATGAAAACATTAAAAATAACAAATATGCTAAATCGTTAATGTCTTTAGGTGTTACAAATTTAGGGGAATGTAATGCTTTTAATGCCTTCCAAGATAAATGGATATTAGACTCAGGATGTACATCTCATTTGTGAAATGATGTACATAAATTTTGTAATACTCTCGACGATTCCGATGGTAAGCTAATTTTGGCCAATAGTATGTTCACTGCTGTCTATAACTCTTAAAGGTCTCACTCTCTATGAAATGAATAAGATTAATATGGAACTCGATTTACCGATTCAAATGGTAATTCTTAAAAATTATTTGCCATGCACTAAAGCGTTTGATATTGGGATATACGTCTAACTCATATAAACCCTATAGTACAATACGCAGCTTAGTACGATAGATCCACGCTTGCTACCCTGAGTAACCTTCGCTCAAAACGTAAAAGGGTTTGCGGTGAGTCTAAAAGGAATACATCTTAATATGTTTTTCAGAATAAAGTGCCCTCGAATTTCAACAGAAGGTTTAAGAAAATACAGTTACCTATTACACTATTTAAATAGGTTTCCTATTTAGATTCGTGTAGGTATGAAGACCCGAGAGAAGATAATTAAAAATTTGAAGGAAAGTCGAACTTAATATTGATTTTATTGAAACAGATTAATCAATACTAGTGGTTGCCCAGTGTTCGAAATTCGATCATAATAAATTTCAATTAGAAATTATTACTGAAATCGAAAATCTCTAGACATTCAATAAGACCACAGTAAACATCACAAACATATAAATAGATGTATATGGTAAATATTCAAAAGAAACAAACAAACTCTTTGTCAAAAGAAACAATTTGTCCACAGAGTACATGTATGCGTGTAGCAAATACTTGTTTGAGAGTGTCAAATGCATAGTAGTGTGTGTAATGTTTTATTTATCGATTTAATGTACTTTTGATTGTTTGCTTGGTGATTTTAGGTGACCGTTCTTTTGGAATGTATCTAGCATAAACTTTATGGTTGGAATAGAATTTAGTTGGAATTCAAAAGCATAAGCATAATACAATACATTATTTCGCACATGAAGAACAAAATCGTGGTCGGAGGTCGAAGAGTATGTATCTCATTACTATTGCTATAAATAGCAATCTAGAAACGAGATGGTTTCTTATGACAAAATAAAATCACAAATTGGATGGATACTTTCGACTGAACTCGTAAAGTATCGAAGAAATTAATACACACGAACACATTGTTCGGACAATTACACATATTGAATGTATGAAATGTACATGTTGTACACGTAAAACATCAACGTTATCTCAATAAAATCAAAATTCAGAAAATTTATCTAAAAATTACACATCAATTTCACGCCTGATCCTTTGCAGGGTATGCTGCAAAATTAGGAGACTGAGCACCACATGGCATAGCTTCGGCTCATGGACCATTTTCATTGTCTTTCTTTTGAATTCGTATGATTTTTCTCTTCTACATAGAAAACTCCACATCAGAAACATCAGCGCAAACATTAACTCAAAAAACGTATTTCATACAATACCCGTACGAGTACGTACCTATGAGAATATTATAATTAAGTAAGTTTTAAGCAATTAAAATACAATAAACGCCATCTATCAACCCGGTTGGCGTATCATTTTCATAGCTGTTCTTAGCAATCTTATTTTAGCATCCTTTAGCATAATATTAGTGTAAGGAAAGCGACCCACAATACCATAAAATGACAAATATGGATATTACATTATTAAGCAACCAATTTAAAACGACTGGAATTTATCTGAATGAAATTAGGCGTGATTGATTCAATACCTTTCGGGTAATAATACATAATATGGAAACTAAAAATCTATCGAACAGCCTACAAAACTTTATAATGTATATATATTATATGATACTATATACAAGTTAACGCAAAACTTCAGCGTTCCGTGTGTCGTGGCTCGAGGCTCGGTGTCAAATTTATGGAGCATTACCCACGGTTACTACTGTCCTCCAGAGATTGCAGGAAAACATTCCTACGCAGAAACATCCATATCACATTCGATTAGCCACCTCTGCGGTCAATTTATAACCGACCTGTCTTTTATTGCGCAGTTACTTTATCCCTTACAACGAAATTAGATAGAAATACGGAAATACATTATGCTTTAAATAAAGGACCGAAATCCTACATATAATATAGATTTGACATCACAAAAGATCATTAACCAAAATGCACCTTGAATACTTCGTTTTGCCGAAAGAGATGATAAAATAAGATTTTGATCGAATTTATCGACGGCAATATTTACAATTACTGTGTTACAGTTAGTTACATAATATATACGAACTGGTTTTCCGTGTATAAGAATTTTCAAACACATTTTAAAACAACAAAGAAATCTCAAAAATTTCAATGCTTTTTAACAACTCCGGTAACATTTTTTGATTAACTTCACAAATAGATTTTATGTTAAGCATAACACTGTTTTCATAATTAGACCAGTACAGTAAAACTACCTAATACATTAACAAACCCAGGGGAAAAATATGAAATAAAGAAAGAGAGAAAACAGATACATGCTTCATTATGATAACATTGGCTTCCTAATTTGGAACTTGATTCAAGAATGCTTTTAAAAATATACAAGTATATAATGATAATAATACGTTCTTTATTCCAAGAACCGTACAATAACAGACAGATATAATCAAAGTATCGGATCTCCTGCAATATAACGAGGTAGGTACCAACAGCGGCCTTTGTGAAAATGATAATTTTGTGAAAAAAAACAGTAAGATATTTCGAAAAGAAATGAAAAGCGGCATCATAAAGATTTTACAATAGGAAAGCGTTAATACAAATCCAATTCTAATTTCCAATACATTAATTCTAAATTATTCGGATCTCAACAATTAATTATTTTATAAAGTAAACAAATGAAAACTCAAACGGTCTTCAAAGGTCGAGTTTACATGAGACAGAGAACTTTTAGTAGAAATCGAACAGGAATTCTTTCAATATTCCCAATACAATATTATCAAAGAATACGCATATAATACTAAATAAAATCTCCTTTGCAGAAATCATAAGCAATATAAAATACAAAATTTACTTTTCAAAGCACATTAATATTCACGCCACAACAGAGAACAAATTCGACAATGTTCTAAAGAAAACATCCCTTTTGTGACGTTTTGAACAGGCAAAGACACATTTTAAGAAATTGAATACAACATAGAATCGTAAGTATATTATTGTAATATAATTGACACGATTTATTGAACAACGACATGAAAGATGTTGATTAATATTTCTTTTTTTTTATACGGCGTCCATTCACTTGTAAAATATTCCTGTATGGGATGGGACATTTAAAAAAATAACTACAAAAATGCATTAGGTACGAAAATTTACCCAAGTTATAAACTAACTTATGCGTATTAAACTAATTTTACTATTATTAATTTTACTAATTTTATGCGTATTAAAACAATCATATATTGTTTGCTCACCTATTATTTAAAGTATCAATTTAATTTTTAATTATTTTTTTCCCGTGGCAGGTTTACGCTTATCGGCGACGTTCTTAACGGCATGTTTGGCAGGCTTGGCAAATTCATCTACAATCTTCTGAATTGGCTGCAGTTTCTGATCCGCTAACAAAAGTAACTGAGATCTCCGATGATTTAGAGCGTCAATCGCTCGGGACAAACAAGACTCTATAGCATCTGCACCTTTCATCAACAATGTACAAGCTCGGGTGGCTTCTTGTGCTGAATAACGCCCGCCTTCACTGTGAAGTTTGAATTGGGACGCTAATCGGATGTTAGAAATACGAGCCTCTTGTATACGATTTTCAATTTGTCTCTTACAAGTCTCAATCGTTGCATCCAAAGAATTTTCAAAAAGTGCACGATGTTTCACTAATCGTAAAGCATAACTACACATCTTTAATTTTTTTACTCCAAGATCTATTTGATCTTGTGCTAAAATTGTATCTACATTATCATGAATGCCATCTACCCATTTACAGAAAGGATACAGCTCGGGATCATCTAAAGAAAGGTATTCAGCAGCTTCAAGCGGCAAGCTATCAACTAATTCATAAACAGCACTGAGATGTGAATTCAAACGTGCATCATGATATCTTAATTCAGATAGACGTACATCATAAGCGGCTTTGATACGTTCTTTACGTATGCTATGAGAAATAAGTTTCATTGAATGGCGCATATGCAGTGTTCGAGCTTTCTCGTCCACCCATATTCTAGCATGATTTATAAGTTCTTCACGCAAATTTGATATGTTATTTGCGAATGTTTCAAGAAAACCATTTCTCCAATTTAATAAGTATACACCTTGCAATTCTGTTTGTAGAATAGCTCGTGGTAATGGCATTTGTAGAGAATTAACGTCCATGCGAGGTGACGTAACACTTTGTCTTATTCCAGTGTCTGATACGGGTATAGAAGCTCTAGGAAACCTATCTAAGAAGCACTGGTATTCCGACATCAATATATTAGCCATTGCTTCAGGAAAACTCATAAAACATTCTAGCCGATCCGATTCAGAAATAGCGTGTTGTGTATAAACATCAGAGATTCGATCAAGCATAGTCAAAACTATATCATATTGTTGTTGCAGTTTATCAGTGTCTGGAGCGGACCGTAATTGTTCTAAAGAAATATTAAAGTTTACTTCATTAGCGAGTTCTATGGAATCGTTGCTAGTAAAAAGATCTTCTACACAAGCTATTGTTAATTTTTGCGCCAGCGCCGATCTAACCATATGAGCATCCCAGAGATGTGCAGAATCGTGCAAAATATTATATGTATCACGAAGTCTTTCACCTAAGGACCACAGACTTTTCTGCATTTCCAGGGTTTCTAATCGTCCTTTTTCAACTAATTCTGGTAAATTTGATGTACGTTTTAGTAAGTTAATCGCCAACCGTTTTGAAATGCGATCAATAATATTCTGCAAATCCATCGCTATATCACTCTTAGGTCCTGTCTCCAGAAAACTAATAGAACACACGTGACTATATAAATCGCTCAATTTACCAGTGAAACCAGTTAATATTTTGATAACCGCCATCCGATATGCTTCAACTAAAAGTGACACACATTCATCGAATTCATGAACTTCACCTATGATGTGACTGATAGATTGTTTCGCAACATCGTCTTTGCTTATGGAAGCACTAGCAGTTTGACGTTGCGGTATTTTTTCTTCACGTCGCCACAGATGTGCACTATGGTTATGGGCTTCTACATGGAAACCTAAGCAAATCTGATTAATATTCGACTTTACTTCAACAGTCTGTTCGTCAAGTTGTGCAAGCAATTGAGCTTCTAATTCTGCGTAAGCTCTGGAATTACTTAACAGTTGCTGATTAATCTCGTACACCTGCTGATCAAATTCATGAAGTAAATCTCTTGGAGGAAGGTGACCAACACTTATAAGGCGTTGGAACTGCTCTTGTAACAGCTTTCTTATTTTATCGGCTCTCTGTCTTTCTAAGGCTAATGATTCACGTTTGAATGAGGCAAGTTCATTAACACGTTGGGAATATAATTTGCTGACACATGTAAGCGCGTAATTTCGTCCACCTTGACTATCATTATTGTCATCAAGGTTTTCAACAACACAATTCATAGTTTGTTCATGGTGTTTGATATGTGAGAGTAAATTTTCAGCAAGTGTGCGAATTTTTGTATCAATAGTATTATTGATTACCAAAGCTTCTTTCTCAATTTTGTCTTGAACAGTTTCATGATTCTGCTTTCTCTCGTTCAAATAGTTCGTAAGGATAGGACCGGCACACCTTGGAACCCAATTATCTGGTAGAGTTGCTACTGCTAAATCGTCGTCAGTACAGCCCGGCAAAGCGACTTTTATTTTATTTTTTTGCCGATTTCTACAACAATATTTACGATCAACAGTAACAGACGTTACCTTTGGCATTTCCTTTACTTACTTTCTTTCGAAAAATATAACATACAAATCTATGTATAATTGTAAGATAAACACGATAAACAAATATCAATATATCAGATACAAAGACTAAACAAATATCAATTTTTAATATAAAAATCGAAGAGTATGTAAAAAATGAAACTAGTGTCTATGGCCTAAGGCAAATCCTGCTAAAACTTTAAATAACAGAGGGTAAAGCGTACTTAGAAAGATTGTATTAAAGTATACAATCTATGATATACGTCAAAACACCATAGTCCTAAGATCATAGCCCAAAATAATGAGTGGTCAAGAGCCAGTACTATAGTTTAATAACTTGTTATAGTAGAGATAGTTCATAAGAGATTATTTATTCTTGTCATGTGTATTTTTTTAATAATTAAAATCTGTATCACTACATAGTATAAAAGGTCGCTTTTTCTGTCCCTATATCCCTATGTATGCTTAAATCTTTAAAACTACACAACGGATTTTGATGCGGTTTTTTTTCATAGATAGTGTGATTCAAAAGGAAGGTTTTTATGTAAAATACAAGACCACGCGTTAGTATTAAATCAAAAAGCCCTTATTTTTCAAAATCAAAATTACTCTTTAAGTCCTGAATTGACCTGCTGACTCACTTTAGTACCTATACTCCATTCATTAAAGCATTAGACAGAAGTTAAATAAGGTTCTTTTTATGGTATACTTTGTGATAAAATATCAATAATCATGTTAATTTTAAGACTAACGGCTAATTTGCTACATATCCACTTAAATACCAGCTGCTATACTTAACTGTTGTCATTTAAGCTATCTATTAAATAAATTAATGAGTATATGACTAACTTAAATGATTTAATAACTATTACAATAAAAAGTGTTCATCGTAAAGAACCTAAAGAAGCAGGGTTGGATAGTTTCGGCACGATTCTCATGTCACTATAACTCTACCAAATTTAAAACGTTGCCTAACCCCTGAGGAATTGAAAAATTAAAAAGTTAAAAAGCTGTACTAACGAAATGTTAGTAATTAAAAAGCTAAAAATTAAAAAGATAAAAAGCTGTACTAACGAAATGTTTGAAACAGTTCGTTAGTACAGCTTTTTAATTTTGTCAGATTATTATTTATTCATAGTTGTTAAAATCGTAAGCTGGGATTGTCATCCATTGTGAATACTACTGCCTTTCTTGTTGTTTTGCCGTTTTCCGTGACGTAATTGTTTTATTTTTGTTTTGTTTTTGTTGTTAAGTTTTGGTAAATATGGAGGATGCCGGTGCAGACCCGAGTGGCCTACAAAAATTACGCTCTAAGCCCCCATACCTACCCTCAAACTTTCGACATTTCAGGGAGTTTTTCCATGTCTTCATCAATAGTCTAACAAATTACACTTACAATTAGAATTTATCAAAACACACAGATAGTTTCAGTTTTAGTTCCATGTTGGATTGGGGCTAAAAGATGAATTTATAAAATGCTGGCCTCATCTCAACCCCGAGGTATCATAAAAAATGGAAAATTGCCCAGCTCTTTCAGACTACCTAACGTTCAAAGTTTCAACAAAACTAATATATATTATTTAAATTTATCTTGAAAATAAAATGTTCTGCACTGCTGCTTCTATGACCCTCTTTTTTCTAATGTTATAGTGAATGGAGTATAAGTACTGAAAATCGAACTCCGATAAATAAATCTTAGAGTATCATTACTCTTATTATTAAGTGGTAAATATAACGTTACATACATATGTAACAGTTCTAAAGTTCTATTTCATCAGATATATTAAAAGTTCAAATAAGTACGCGTATGTATTTTGTTTCATTTATCAATCTAAATACAAGTGTTTTTTTTAGATTGTGTGTGTGTGTAAATAGGCACGTAAACTGGAAACCGGGCCTTGAAAGATACCGGGTTCTGCCTAACCGCGTGAGGTGTACCGCAGCGGGTTTTAATAGGTAGGCATCCACATTAACCTGCCCCTTTCAGGGCGGGGTGGTTACTTTAAAGCTTAAGGTACATTTTCACTGAGTTATCAAAAAAGAAAGGTAGAACCTTAATTGCATTACGTGTCGGAAATATCAACTCATGTAGTTGTTACATTACACAAAACGTCAAATATAATAAACTATTAAATCATATCATAAATTAAAGATCATAGTAATAAACATGATGTCCATAAGTCTCAATAATATGTAAGTAACACTAATAATGAATAAGGTTCAAATAAGTCCAGTCACGTTCGTATCAAACTAGTGATCTGCATACGAAAGCGGGAGTAAGTTCAATAATATCGATAGCATTCAAGATTTTTTTCAGTTTCCGTAAATGCATTATCATTTTTTTTTTTGCTACAATTAACAAGAAATGATTTAGAAAATAAGCATTAAAGTTGATGAGTGGGGGCACGCTACGTCACTACTATGCAGAAAATTTACAAAAGTGCAAAGTGCGATAAACGATGTACGATTATTTGGCTGTAAATGATTTATTATAAACGATTATGCGATTGTACCGTAATAAGAAACCACGATGATGTTGAATTTGGATAATTTAAATCAATGCATACTTTAAATCGTTTAACAGACCAATAAATCATATTCGCATTGTAGTTTCATTAATCAATCAATCATTCAGTGCACTATCGTTTGTCGGACTCATGTGGTGTACCCAGGGTCTCAACCAAAAGGAATCGACGGGTTTAATAAGAAACCCTGATCTATAAAGAGATGTAAAGCCCGTTAAGATCGATTTTAAATGAGAAGATACAAAGGATTTTCTCCATTAAAACCATTCTTACCGAATTGTGCTAAGTATACTGTATAGAGAGGTCTCTGTTACTTTCACTCCAACTTGCTACAATTTTAGTAACAAGTTGCGGTGAAAGCATTTTCGGAAGTAAGTATATATGGCATTAGCTCCGAAGCAAAAAAACCTCAGGTATAAGTTAATAATTTCGTAATTTAGATATTTCATTAAATCTACATCCATATGAAATATTATTTTAGTTGATTAATATGATCTACTGTATCATTAATTAATAAAAACCGACCAAGTGGGAAACGGATTCACGCCTACTTAATGCTAATCTGAATTAACTTATAGGCTGAACGATTCTTGTATGAGTAAAATCATCGAATAATACCGCTGACGGATGCTAGTCTATACTAATATTATAGAGGAAATATTAGTTTGTTTTTTCATTGTATATAGGCTCCGAAAGTACTGAGCCGTTTTCAAAAACCTTCACTAACGGGAAGCTACATCATACGCGGGTGACTTGGTCTATGATTTACCGCGGACGAAGTCACAAGAAAACAGCTAGTAATTAATATAATTCATTCAAAGCAAAAACAAAGTATTTCTTGTAATTGCCAGAATTCAGACAGATTATTATTAGAATAATCATTAAAAAGCATTCGACAATCACATTATTTCCAATATCTTTACTTTTGCCTATGTAAAAGGCAGACGACCTAAGTAGGTAAATACTAGTTACGCCTACGCAACCCTAAAGAAATGCGTCCTAATTTTTCCAAACGAATTTTTAACGAATATTGTATTATTTGTTCAATAAAGCTCTTATTTAAACATGCCTCTCTTTTCTTAAACAACTATATATAACATACAATATTTTAATTAAAACAGAAAGTCAAGTATATTTTGATTTGATACTTATCTAAAAATAATTTGATTACTCTCCCAATATTATTTATACAAGACAAAAAATACAAAACGGTAATTTACAAAGAGATCCTGATGGATCATTATTTCTGTACCTGTAGAGTTTTATATAACTGTAGAGTTTTATACATAGGTACTATATAAATTCACGTCTGTCGCATCGTTTAATTCTCTTTATAATAACTTTAGGTGTGGGTTGGCTTCGAGATGAATATCTATTATACGAGCTATTTAATTTCAAATAAGCACGAAATATTAGATAGGTATTTCAAATATAATTTAGCTAGACGGTATATTAAGTACAAAAGTATATTCTAATAGACTGAATTATTATTTTAAAATGTAATAATATTATTATAAGAGTACAAAGGCTTCGCTACAGCATCACTGGGTGTACGTTGAAATATTATACAGGGTATTTTAATAGGATTCTGATTTCTGAATTTATATATAAAAAATCTAGCTTGGTCGTTAATTAATTGTTGTGACCAAGAATTTCAAGGAACAAAAAATTTAAGTCAGTACATAGTATAATTTTTGAGAGGGCTTTAAACGAAAATACTGTTCCTGTTTATCTAATGCGATGAATAGGGACCGACGACGACGGAGAACGATTCTTAATTAATCACTAGCAAACTATTACGATTATTGTAAAGCCGCGCAATACGCCATTTTGTCTTCACCCGCTTCCTTTGACTTTACGCTCCCTCAGTATCACGTATACAAAAACTTATCAATCACAATATTGATAAGTTTTGAAACGTTAAATGTTTCAATTGCTGATCCAAATTCATGATAAACATAACTTTGTATAATAACTTATCGATTCAGAGACTAAAAAGGGAATATGCTAATTTCTTGAAAATGTTATCATATGATAATTTACATTGTTATATAACTGTAAAAAAAATACCCGGCACCGAAAAACTAAAATTGTTGAACATAAATAAATTACAACTACGAGCAGTGTAAACGCCGTAATTTTTGGCGCGCTTGTCGCGACGTCATAGAACACGAATAGAAATATGACATTTTAATTTAAATCAATATGGACTGTGATTGATTAATTATTCAACTTTTTTAAACGTGTAAAATAGACTTTTTTATAATCATATAATTTACCGAATTTTTGAAATAAAAATAAAACCGCAAAACATCATTTAAATTGTAATCTGTTGTTTATTTCGCAACATAATACATTGATGTTATTGCATCGATGTTAACTTTCTGTAACAACGACATCCCTATACGTATACATTTTCGTCACATCCGCTCTGACAAGTAACATGGCGCTTGAATATTTTTAAGTTACCGCATTTTTTGCACT